AAAAAAAAAATTAAAAAAAAAAATTTCGAACTTCGAAAAAGCATTGATTTTTGTCAAAAAACTGAAAAATTCCATATGTATTGACTTACAAAAATTTTTTAATATTTTTTATCGGAAAGTACATCTAAAAACAAAAATTTTGAAAAAAAAAGGTACCTAAATGTTTAGTTTTGAAAAAGTTATGGCTATTTGAAAATAAAAAAGCCATTTTTTTGAAAAATTCATAACTTTTTTGGAGTTAGGTAAAAAAATTCAAAAAAATTCTGAGAACCGTTTTTTATAGGGTAGAAAAGGATGGAAAACTTTCGGCCAAATCGAAAAGGGTCGGGGTCAAAAGTGGTCGATTTGGCATGGAATACCCCATATACACTTATATATATGAGCGTATACTACTACTGTAGTAAGCTTTATCCAATCTGGTACGTATAGTACAGGACACGGTCCTATATACTTTGTTTTTGATGTGAACCGAGACGAAGGAAATATACTCATAATAAGAATAGAATAAAATATTGTGTAGTGCAAGAGAAATTAACAGACGCGTGCATTTGTACTGGGTAATTAGACGTATTAGGGATAATAAAAGTTAACTGTAGAATACAAATTTGTGATATATGTCATACTGTATAACTATAAGCGATTTATTTGTTTATTCGCGTGTATATATATTATATATTATACATATATAGGTGCATATAAAATGCTTGTATGTTTGAAAGTACAAGAGTAATTCAGAAGTAGTATAGAAGAGAAACGAGGCTTGGGTTCAATTAGAAGCCGGTAACTCTCCGGGGTACTGTTCGTATCGTTCTAGATTTGTATTCGCTGGTGCGTTCGTTTGTTCTCTCTTGCGCATTTGCGTAACTCGACGGGTTGTTGTACACCAATAGCTAAATTCAAGCAACTTCGTCGTGCGTTTTGTGTACAATATTTTGCTGACGTTGCAATTTTGCTTTTTTTATTCTGAATGGTATATCTCTTATCCTCTCATTTTTTTTCTCTTTTGCTATCACTTGCGCTCTCTTTTTCTTTTTTTTTTTTTTAATAACCACTGATATCTTAATACATTGTATGCACGACTCTCGTCACACTATATGCCTTTTATTCTCTTTAAAATTCATTTATTTTTAAATCTCGAACCCGTAGATTTTTTTTATTGTTCATTTTTATCTTACAATTTTTTGTGTCTTTATACGACGAAAAGCCCATATCAGACCTGATATGGTTATAAATGTCCGTACATAATTTTTCAATTAAAGGTGTGTTGAGGATTTCTGACGGAAAGCGCATGATCACTGAATCGTCTTCTTACCAGAGATTTAAAGTGTTAATATATGACATAGGTTTCTAGGATTTAACGAAATACTACTAAACTAATCATGTTAATTGACGTACATATTTTTAGAAAAAATTTTTAAATTATTTTTTTATTTTCATATTTAGCCTGACATATGACAAAAAAATATCAACAGCAACTAGCTTATCCTTTCTTTTTGATTTCTCTATTAGGCATGAATTTATGTGCATATAATATCATCCGACGCTTTTGCTTAAAATCTTCTTTCACTTTCTATTTTCATTCTATTGGTCTAACGTGCCCTGAAATATACGGACACAATTTTCTAAGCCCGGATATATTTGTCTGAGTTTATTGCTTTTTTCCCACGCTTTCCAATAGGATACACTAAAAAATAATATACATAGAGTTGAAATTGTATTTTTCATCGTTCTTTTTTCTGTTTGAATTTCGAATGTAAAGACTACGTTATCAGACACAATTAGTATTTATTTTCGCGAAAATCAGATTTTAATCTTACCATTAAATACACTTCGTTATTTACAAAATTGAAACAATCGAAATTTGTAAAGTAGTACTCAAAATTCTATTGGGGCAATAGAAACTACCAGATTCTCAATTATTTTCCACAAGCTTCCGCGAATCTCGGCAAAATCCTGCAGAAATTGCGCATCCAGCTGTCTAATGGCTAAAAAAATTCTCGTAGATTTGTATTGATTGGACCAATAGATTAATTGGATACTTGAGGAGAATATTCTATCATTAAACAAGACTTTTTACCAAAATTAATGAAATATTTTCATTTATTATAAATAAATTTGTCTTCAATATCCATAAAAATAAAAATTTAAAATTTATACAATAATGATCGATTAGATTGTGAAAAACGAGTGATAAAAATTGAACACATTTCCATCAAACAAATAGTGTGAAGACAGAAACGTTGCATGTTTCTATTTAACATGCGATTGGCGTTGATTTAAACATGAAATTTTTCCACTGAAGTTTATTAAATTATCTAAACAAAATAAAATATCTGTATCCCAAAAAATTAAAAACAATTTATTGAATATTTATTATCTTTAAAATTTAAACAATTATTACAACTTTGTAATGTATAGCGATAAAGCTTGAAGATACATAAAACGGATATAGATTGAAATCAATCAGTAATTGAATATTCACTAGAATCGTATAGTTTACCGATCGTTGAATATTAACGAATCTGATGTGGTATAGCTATAAGAATATTAGAAATTACTGAATGATGATGATGGTTATAGGCCGCATACGGTTTTCCATGATAGAGCTTGGAAGATATAGCTCGGGCTTAGCGGTGGGGATAAAAGAGGGTTGAGAGTTGAGGATAAAGCAGTACACCGTGGTATCAAGAAATTTATGTACGAGCTTGCACACTTTATACCAAAAAGGGAGAAAGCATAAATGCGCGAGTAAGAGGAATACGACAAAGAGCAAAGCATTAAGGAGAGAGATGAAGTGCGTGACTGGGGGGAGAGAGTACGCGACTGTGCATATATCGGGCGTGTGCTGCAACCATCATAACTAAATTCATCCAATAATTTCATTGTGCGAGGCCAATAATTTCCGTCTACTTTACGTCTAATCACGAGCCAAATGGTTTGACAAAGTTAATTCTCCCTTTTACACATTACTTGTTTTAATTCTCATTCCCTCCATTCCCTCTCTCTTTCATTCTCTCATTGTTGAGGCTCAACTCGCTACAATACATATAATATACACACACAACTTTTAATTTAAATTTTATTCAATTATACTCATAATACAATTTAAACTTTATGTTTACTAAAAGTTTAGAAAAAAAATCTAAATTAAATGATATTATTATTTTTAAATAATTGTGTTTTAGCTCTTTCACTAAATATTTCATTAAAATTTTAATTAAAATAAAATCAATAATTATTATTCAATGTACTTATACAGCATATATACTGACTTACTTCCATAGAATTCCGATTTTTTTTATTGTTATGATTTTGTGGCTTACGATAATAAAAATTTTTTGTTTACTATTTGTAAATACCTTTTGATGGTATTTTATTTAATACACTGGTGGTATACCAGAATCGGGGGATTATTTATGCGAAAAATTAATTAATTAGTCCAGTCGCGAAAAAAAACCTTAAGAATTCTCTTATTTTGAACTAAAAATAATAAAAAGCATTGAATAACGTCGAAACCGACAAAACAAAAACAGTCTCTCAAAGTCATAATCATAACGATTAACCACAAAAGAGTCTATATTTAGTAAGCATTTTATTTATTTTTAAAAAATTTTTCTTTCTATATTCATTTTTTTAAAACTATTTTTTGATCGCTCCTCGATGAGTTTGAGACTGGATGGACCAGACATAAAGAGTCTACCGATACACGGTAATGTACCTTTGGTATTTACTAAAAAGTTTCAAATATTTCTCTTGTTTTTTTTTTCTCCATAAAAAACTGTGGTTGTAACCAACAATTCTTTCAATGTCTCAGATTGTCTTTTTTTTATTTTTTTCTGCTGAATATTTAGTTCCTTTCTAAAACTTTTTTTATACAAATTCCTCATCGAAACGTGAACATTGAGATGGCTAATTTTTCGCCTGGATACCACCTTCATGGGCAGTCTCCCTCAGCTCCTTTTTATTTCCTTTGCTATTTTTCCAGCATCTCGTTTTTAATAACCTAATGGCTCTTACGCGGTACATTATGCTTGTCCCGTACCATCATCACCATCTACAGACCCTAAATCCCAAAACGTTTTTTACTGTCTTTTATCTCTCTTACTACCTTTTTACTTCGACTAGAACTATGACTACGACTACTGATATCTCTTACCCCTTTCTCATAACCCTAATCTTACTTACAAGAGAACCCAAAAATATATCGTTCCATTATTCAACTTTTCAAGGTAACTTCCGACTTTTTTGACCTTTAAGTTGTCTTCTTTTTTTATTATTTAAACTTGTGCTTATTATTATTGAAATGAAATATTTCAAATAAAATATAAAGAGCTGAAAGTAAAGCTAACAAACACAATAGTAATTCACTATGTTTCATTTTTTTTTCATCTTATGGTTCATAATCAAAATGAAATTTTCTTTTTAATTGAGCTTTTTTTCTTTTGAGTTTATATTCCATGACAGAGTTAATAATTGAGAAATTTTTATTAACTCTATCTCTCTCTAAATCTAAAATTCTTCATTGAGAAAATCAAATGTTTTTGAAAGCTTCATTTTGAGGACGAAAAAAATTTCTAGAATTCAAGCTTTTAATTTTTTAGGAGAGAACTGTTATAAGATACAATTATTGATAGTAAATAAATAAGTAATGATGTAGCGGACATCCTAAATTTGTTTGGAAATTTGTAAGTAATTTATTAAAAATTAAAAAATTAAAGATTAAAATTTATTTTTGATAATTTTTTAATATTAGCTGTCTACCAATTTGACTTCCATAAAATTAAATGGCAAATATTTTATTGACCGCAATTACTTCGCAAAGTTTACAAAATTTTTAACTTTTCTAATTTTTCCCATCCTGCACCAACTTCGCCAATATTGTTACATTACTCTAAAACACCAAACATAATCAATATTATAAAAGTAAAATAAAAAAAAAAATGAATGGAAAAATCTATACATTTATTTCTATATGATATTTGTATATTTACTAAAAATTTAGTAATAGTCTTCTTCGGCTGGTATGGAATCCACTTTAGAGCACTCTACTTGATGACACAGTTATTAAATATAAATTAATACTTTCAGCAAAAATTTAATGATGTAAATATTAAAAATATTTATTTAACGGAATAATTTCTATACTTCTATGAGTTACAAAAATACATAAAAGTAGTTATTAAAAGTTTTGAAAACTTTTATTTTCTTAATAGTCATGAATTATCAGTTTTATTTAAAAAAAAAATCCTTAAGACAACTGTAAAATCCAGAGAATGTAAATTTGAAGTAGTTACTTCTCACTTTGCGGTAGAATATTTTAGTTTTGCGATAAACGTAAAGGTCGAGCAAACAAAGAATGACTTGTAGAAATTGATCGATTTTTATCATTCACATACTGTTATTTTTCTCTTTCTCTGTATTTTCGTTTTCGACAAACACGAAGAAATCTCTATAAATCGTGAAGAATCAGCCAGGTGAAATCAAGTGTAAGCTTCACAAAGAATTCTATGGACGCGCACAACTTCCGAAGTATTGAGTAGTACATATAACGTTTATTCGAGTCTTTAGTGAGTAAACCAGACTACTATTATCTTCTCTTTTTACATTCACTTGTTATCTCCAAAAATCTTCATTGTTGAGTTATTTTATAAAAATAATAATAATAATTATGACTTCTGTTATCATCCATAATTTATAAATAATAATGAAAATATTCAGGAACTTGGACCATAAAAATAACTGTTAATAAATAACAGTTATTTTTATGGTCCAAGTTCCTGATAATTTTCATTATTATTAATAATAATAATAATAATAATAATAATAATAGTAATAATAATAATGATAATATTTATTAATTAAAAAATAAAATCACTGTAATTTATATTACACTCCCTATTAATTTTAATTTTCATGCTTATGCTAATATTGTCACGAATATATTTTATGAATAGTCATATATTTTTATATATTATTTTCGAGGAGTTATTATTTGATATTAAAAAGAGTTGATTATAATTCAATGTACTTCACCGACAATATTTTACCTTTCAAACTTTACGATCGGACGTTTTTAATTTCCCAATGTTGGGTGTATGCGTGTGTGTAAGGGTAAGAGTAAAAGTGTGTGAGGGACGGGGGTGCAAAGAGTAAAAATAGTGTGAGTAACGAGAGAGGAAACGAAAAGTAAAGGGAGTTTGGATTAAGAGAATGCAAATTGCGACGCGACAAAATTACACCAGTATAAAATTTACGTCTTTCTCTTTCTACTTATTCTTATTACTCTATCGGTTCATGATTTATAATATTAACAAACTTTCCATTTCTTTAATTACTTTTAATAGTTGTTTGCCTTTTTCCGTATAATATTTTCCAACTAATTATTTATTTTTAATTATGAGTGCTCATGAAATCGATCATGGCCTCTTTAACTTATAAAATTAATTTCATTTCATTCATAATTTGTTTCTAGGTCTAATAAAATGATTTTTTTTTAAATATCGAAAACTCACTACTCCGACTAATGATAATAATTCAAATTAGCTGTTGTGAATTTATCATCACTCGGAATAATTAATCAGCGAAGATTGCAAACTTAACATAGTCGTTGACAATAACTTTGAGTAGAACAAAGTGAAGCAATATAAGTGATTAGTACTAAATACTAAATAAGTACTGAATAAATAATCGTCTTATAAGATCGCTAATAAGATTTTTTAAAGTCATAGAAACACTGATGCTCTAAAATTATTTTATTACAAACTATGTAAAAAACTTATTAAAATCCGATAACTTTTTTATAGTATTTTTATAATTGACTAAAATTTTCTTTGCAGGTACAGCTTTTACGCCACCAAAAGAATGACTCAACGAGCAATAGTCTTACTATTAATATTAATAAGCATTTCAACTGCAGTTCAAAGTAATAATAATATCAAAGTTGTCCATAGCAAAAATACAGTAAGTTTTGTTTTTGTAGACTTTTTCTTTTATAAAGCACAGAAAAAATAATTTACTTATAGGGGAGTATTCTAGTCTGCAGGCATAAATTTTAGGTATTTTTAAAAAAAAAAAAATTGATTTTTTTAGAATTCTAGACCAGAATACTCCTTTAAGTCAAGAAAATTATCGAAGAGTAGCGAAGTAGTCTAGTAGCAGACGTAAAAATTTTCTTAGGTCAAGAAAATTATGTTTATTGTCTTAACAAATATTTTTTTAAATCAAATGCAAATTTAAAAAAATTTTTAATTCGTCAGTAACTGATGTGTTTTGAATTGGGGCGGCTAACTGGTATGGGAATAAAAAAAAAGGAGAAAGACAAAAAATGATGATTGAAGCTGAAGCAAGAATTATGCTTTCAACTAGCTGATTGATTATACAACTCATAATTTTGGCTTTATCCTTATCTTAATTTTCGCTTTTCATTGATGTTTTATCTTTCTCTTAAAAATTTACCATTACATCGGCCAGATTTGGTGATCGATCTCACTGTGGCTGGCTGGTGGCACCGTACCACTCTCTCGCTTCATATATTATCAGGCTCGACTAACGCAAAAAAGAACTTGAAATTTGAGAAAAAAAAAAAAATTAAAAATTAAAAAAAAAAGGATCGCCATAGGCGACAGAAGTGCCACCGCCATCCGCCGTCGTACCGCAACAATCAGTGTTTGTCTGATGACTCCTTGACTACAGCATCACAGTAGAGTAAAAGAATAAAAACAAAGAAAGAAAAAAAATAATTTATCGGTTGATTCGCTGGTAACGCTTCCGGCGTCCGGTAGGATAAAAAATAAAAATAAATTCATGAGATGAGAGAGAGTTTGTCAGGTAAGAATTTAACGCGAAAGGAAATGGACTGGATTGAATAGAAGAGTATAGATGACGTTGGTACGTTCAATAGAAAGACAACGAATATAAACGTCGACGACGAGGACGAGGACGAGGACGAGGATGAGGACGAGAACGACACAAGTAGTAGTGGTACATTGAGAAAAGACCAATGGACTGGCACACACAAGTAGAACACAAGAAGTAAAGGACGACGAACGGCTGTAAGAGCTGTGGCAAGGGCCCGTTGGGAATGAGATGCAGATTGCCAGAGGCTACTTCAACTGCTGGAGGGAGTGAATTTTTAATAACGCACCGCCATACCGTCTTTCTTTTTTTCACTCTTGCTTTTTTATCTTTTTCTCTCTCACCCTCATTTCTCTATGTGTATGTATAAAATGCCATTGTCTTCTTGTGTGTCCACGAAAGAAAGCGCGCTACGAGAAAAAAATAGTTTACCTTTTTTTTTAATTCATTATGATTATGATTATAATAATCATGATTATTGTTATATTTGTATTTGTATTTTTACGCTCTATCTCATCGCAATTGGAGATATTTATATCACTTAATTAAGGAGGTAATAAGAGGTGACGTATTACACTCTTAACTACATCACGGTAGTTTTTGTAATTAAAGTAAAATTTTTATTATTAATCATCAGAATTAATTAATATTTATTAACAGTTACAAAATGTTTATTTATATTTAACAAGTTATTTGTTGAACATAATTTATTAGCTGTTAATTAATAAATATGTATTTATTAACAGTTTATAAGTTAAAAAGTGGGTATGAAAATTTTACTTAACACTTTTTATAACCCAATGACTTTAATCGACAACATAATTTTATCAAATCCGATAGATTAATAGTTTTCTTACAAAAAAAAAAATAAAGAAAATCTGAAAAATTATAAAATAATAAATTTTTTATTTTATTTCAGTTAATAAATTATCTCGAATTATTACTATTAATTATAACTGCAATTGACTGTTAACAACTATTTAGCGTAAATATTAAGTAGGTTACATTTACAACTCAAAAATATCACAATAGTTATTGATCTATGCTTATTTATTGAGACTATTATTATTTGTTTTTATTATTTTGTTATGTTGTCAACCAGAGCAGGAAAAAGTTGAGAAAGTAGTGAGTACTATTGAATTGTCACAAGCAGAGAAAGAGATTAAAAATATACGAGAAAAGAAGAGGGAAACTTATACACGCTGATTTATATTCAACTCTTTCGCTGTTGTGTCTGGTTTTTACTCTTATGTCTGTTGTCTTCGATTAAGTTATCTTCTTAGCTGCTTGGTCATAAAAATTTTTCTATAAAGACATAAATATTAATTTTTTTGTTTTAAAAAAAAATAAAATGATTAATATAATTGAATTTAAAGGCAGAAAATCAAGAGAGAAACAGTCCGGCTTTAAACAATTTTCTGAGGGAGGTACTCAGTGCCAAGAATGAATTGAAGTGGATAGATCAAATGATTTATCCTCACGTGAACAACTATAAATATCGTAAAACGAGACGTAGATTACTTGCAACGAGAAATGGACGGTCCGTAACTAGAAAAAATTATTGGAGTTACGCTGGAAACTCTGATGATACTGATGATGATGATGACTACCAAGAATACTTTGATGCCACTAATATGCTAACTAACAGCAAAAAATCTTTTCACGCTGGTGGTACAAAAAGAAGGCGGTTTAATCTTGATGATAATGGTCTTGAAAATGATGACTGTGATAGTAATGAAGGTTAATAATTAGTAATTAATGTTTTTAATTAATCTAATGGTCGTCTTTAGTTTGAATTTTTTTTTTTTTTTTTAATTAGAGAAATGTGAGCCCGTAGCGCATAGAGGAATTCTAATTAAAAAAATGAATAATAAAACTAAATACGTGGAACCTAAGACAGTTTTTCTTACTCCAGAAAATTTAAACTCTCAAAAGATTTCATTTAAAAGAAACAGTCTACGAATTAAAAATGGTAAGAAAAATTTTTTTAAATAATGCTGAGTATTAATTAGTAAATTTTTGAAAACTCATGTTATATAGATTTACAGAATGACGAGGAGGGGGATAACGATAATGATTACGATGATGAGGATAGTTTGGAGTACGAAGGAGCCAATTATGATGATCAATTAAATGGGTTAGCAGTTGAAGAATAGTCAATAAGGTATGATCCTAAATTTTATCTCAATTTAAAACTTTTCACAGACGCGAAGCTCGATATCACAGAGATCAAGATCACGAGGCTCAGTTGGCTCTAGAGGAATCGAACTCGGGAGACGATAACCAAAAGTACAAAAGAACTGCTCAAGATGATGATATCTTCAATTACTTGGATGGCATCCCTTTTGATCTGTATGTTGCACATGCTTTTTTTTATTTGTAAACTAGTTTATAGTTTTAATTATTTTTTGTAGATGGAAAAATAGGGTTTTAATTTGCAATCAAGACTTGATTTGATTAAGTGAATGAATAGTATAAAATAAAAATTATTAATTTGTTTTAATTAAACTAAACGTCTAGTAATTTATAGTTGATGTATACCAATAATTAATGACACTAAAATAAACATTAAAGAAATTTTTTTTTAATTAAAAAGCTCAATCTGTACAATTTTTGTTGTATCAGACGAGTTCAATAGACATGAATTTTTTTCTAATGAAAATCACGTTGAAATCGATTTTTTTCTACTATTAAAAAGTTACGCGCTATTGAAATATGAAGTTTCACGATAAATGCTACTACCGACCATTTTTTCTAACAGTATGTTCTATGTTTTAAATTATCCTTTGGGCAAATAGAAAATAAAACATTTAACTTCTTTTGGTATATTGTTTTGCACAGAATAAATAAAATTTTTAACTATAAAAATTAACAGAAAATTTATTTCGGGCAGAATAAAATTTGTTTTAACCCAAAATAACTTTTTTTTAAACTAAAGTAAATTTTAATTTTCTGCGACAATTTTTTAATTAGAGTAATATTTATTTTTCCGACTAGATCATCACCAGAAGTAGGCAATACATCTTCATCCGGAAGTGATTATCATGCGCTAAAAGCTACAGATGACATGTTCAAAGGGGGAATCGAACAAGGAAATTCAATTGATGATAAAATAGATGCGTTCAAAAAGGTATATCTACATAACAATAATACGAAACAATTAGCATTATGTGACTGCTATGATTTACAAATTATGATGAAAAAAATTCTAGCTTTATGATTTTTCTATAATTTTAATCATAATTTTAATCAATACCTTTCTAATTATACTAAATTTGATTAAAAATCTCTATTGTATCATTTAAAAAAGTGGGAGACAAAATTTTCCTTACTGTTTCAATTATATAGATGATCATTTAATGTTCTATTGAAAAAATTATTTTTTTTTTTAGATTGCACAAGCGGATGCAGAAAAAACTAACCCTCCTTATGTGAAGAAAACTAAATGGTACAGTTATCTGAAATTATCACAAAGAAACGATGAAAAACTCAATACATCTACTGATAAGAAAGTCGAGAAAAAACAAGAGTCAAGAGAAAAACGTTTGACTGTAAATGATATGCCAATAATGGGTCAAGAATCAATAGTAGAGCCATCAAATTGGCCTTGGGAATATTACGACGATAAAGATGACATGAGAATAAAATTCGGGCGTGGATTAATGCAAGTGTCGAATGAAAAATTTAGTAGGTCTGTGAAGAAAAGAAAAAAAATGAGGTCGAGAAATTCGTTTAAAAATTTAAAATTTATAAATTCTACAAACCCAAGTCATTCTCTGAAAAAATCTAATTTTCGTTTAGAGCACAAACGTTTAAAAAACCATTTTAATAGAGACTCGTTTCCTGATGGAAATAAGAAACAGCATTATAATAAAAAATTTCAACTAAGAAGATTTGCTAGAGAAGCTGAGAATAAGAATGAAGATAAGGATAAGGATGTTTCACAAATACATTTCCGAACTAACGGATTGCTTGCAGATGAAATTGTTGACAAAATATTTGAAGAAGTATGGGCAAACACTTTTAATGACATTTATTATCATGAAAATTGAATAAATAAATATTTTTTGTTAAATAGGTCGATCAAAATGATTATTTAAAAAACGACTTGACATTTCAAAGAAGTAATAAGACTGCTGATAATGATACCAATTCATCAGATAATACTACCGTTATTGTAAGTATCGTAATGTAAATCATTATTCATTTTTTTTTTTCTATCATTATTTATAAACAATTAATACAGAAATTTGGCGTTACTAGGAAGATAAAACGGTGGAAACTATGAGAACAGTTAAAGAGCTTTTACAAACTATTATTATGCAAGAATTGGAAAAGAAAACTTGTATGAAATTACCAAAGTGTTTAGAAGATTTTTTAATCTGGTTAGTTGAAAAAGAAGATGCAACTGATTCTGAAAAAGAAAAGGTATTTTTTACAGTTTTCTTCAATAAGCAGTCCCTCAAAATTTGTTTCAATTATTTGAAAAATTTTGCCAAAATTTCAGAAAAAGCAAAATTTTTTTTTAGTTTTAAAAATAACAAAAATTTTATTTTTTTAATTGTATAAAAATTTTTTTCATAATTAAAGCTTGGAAAAACAAGTAACGTTCCAGAGAAGAAAGATGAACAACGGAAAGTTCTATTCCCAGTTGGATCAATATCGCTTCCATTGGAAAATTCTTCCGAAAAAGCTTCACCAGTAAAATCCCGTCTGATAGCAAAATCTGCTGTGAAAATAGAAAACACACCAAAAAATTCTTCAAACTTTCATCAAGAAGAGGACCTCTCGAGAGTGGATTTCCTTTTTGGAGAAATGCACGGAAAAATGAAACTACTCAAGCGCTTACTGAAAGCATACCATCTCTTAACCTTCCATGAGCAGAGGAAAGTAAAGGCTGTCCACGATTATCTGGTAATTGATCAAAGTAATCAATACTATAGATCCCTAACCTTATTAACCATGTTTCTTTTTTTTTATTAGAGAAAGCAGCTAAAGACATTAGAAAAGTTTGAAGAACTAAAGGATAAAATATCTAACTTTCCAACGTTATCACCGATCAATAAAATGAGTAATAAATTAATTATTAGCACAGATCAAAATAATTCAACACATAAGGTACATGATAATGACAATTCTCTTTTATCACTCTTCAGTCGTGAGCTGACCAACAGAAATAAGCTGAGAGATCTCAAGGAAAAAAGCAAAAAAATAAAGAAACAGAAGTTTAAAAGTTTTTTGAATGACAATTTCAGAAAAAAAAGAGCGATGATACCGAACGATCATTTGAAAATAATTGAGAGGCTTACATTACCACTCAGTACTACTGCATCAAACGATTTGTCTATGACATTGGAGAAATTTTCTTCAAGTATTTACAACTCGGAAGAAATTAAAAAGTGGAATAAAAATGTTTTTAATGAATCTACTGAAGTTTTAGCTTATCCGGGTGATAAATCAAAAATTAAATGCAATGAATATGCTTTAACAAGGGCATTTTCATCATCAGCTTCAACATCAGTACCCTCAGCTCCAGTTTTTCGCTATAATTCAAGCGTCAAACGAAACAGATTAATGATCAATAATAAAAATAATCAAATTAAAAAGACATCAATCGCATTGAAAAATTTAATGATAAATAATGAAATTACGGCGCAATTAAACTTATCAAATGGGCCGACAACTTCGAAAAATTCATTAGCTACGTTGGAGAGTGCAAAACTATTGGAAAGTAAAATAAATATTTTTCCAGTAGATTTATAATTAGTAAAACAACAAATTTAATATTTATTTACTTATGATTGGAAAATAACTTGGTGTACTTACTAGATGAATAAATATATAGTATACCTTAACAAAATAAAAGGAATGGAACAAAGAAAATGCATCAATAGCACTCCAATAAGTTATTAAACTTTAATAAGCCAATGAACTCAATTCATTAGACAAAAAAAGTTTAAACCCGGGAAATCTTTGGTAACTTTAATCATAAATAAAGTAAAAAACAAGTAGTAAGAAAAAAAATTTGTTCTCGAGAGACTTGGGGAGTGAATCTACGGTTAAGCCAATTAAATTCAGAAAATCGGATGCCTCGTTTATGCAGGCATGAGCACGCAGGGCGATTCTACCCAAAGATGTTATTACTTATTCGTCGCGGTTTAAATTCTGAGTTTATTTAGAAATTCCGGGCGAGCATCTGCGTTTCGGCTTGCGCGCGCCAGCTTTTATCTTTTATTCTTATTATCATTATTATTATTGTATTTTCTTTTTTTCAGATTAACTTATCCATTTATATTTTTATTTGATCTTAAAAGTATATCCATAATGCACGATTCAAAAAGGATGTGCTTTTCTCTAGTGATATGAAAAACATAAGCACACTTTTTTCAAAAAGTCCGTATTATTGTCATTATGAACAATGATAAGCTATGAAAAATTTAATATAATATATAATTTTTTCGCTTAAAATAATTATAAATACCTCCAATCAAATTATTTTTATTAAATTACAGAATATTTCTTTAGATAAATTAAAAAAATATTTTTTAAATTCACAGAGACCTTAGTCAGATAACTTAAAAAAAATTACTATTCAATTTATTTACTTTTCTTTATCGTAAGGTTGTAAAATATTTTCTAAAATTCGTCATTCAGCCTCTCTTCTTGTTGTAATTAATTTTTTTTTTTTTGACTTTTACAATTTTTTACAATTTTTACCTTTTTGAGCCGATATTTTAGCGGTTATTAAAAATAAAATTACTTATTATAGCTAACCGTAAATTTCACACAGAAAAAAAAAATTTCTTGTGCCAAGAAAATTTTAAAAAAGATCAAAGTTACTTTAAAGCAAGATCAAATTACCTCGATTCAAAAAAATTTTGACTTTTGACTTTTTTACTGTATTTTTTCTAAAGTTTCGAAAAGTCGAAGCTGTAGATTACAAATATTAGAACTATACTTAAAAATGACGTTTCTTCTGTTAAATTGACGGTTTTTTTTTTTTTTAACATAGATGTTGAGCATAAAAATTTAATTATTGACTTTGAAAATTTTTTTTCATTAACCGATTATTTGAATTTCCCAAAGGTATTTTTTTATGAGTCAGCATTTGAATTATAGATTTCCCTACAGAAATTTCTAAGCTTTATTGGTGTATTATAATTATATATAAATCAATCATGTATCATAACCGATTTTAACTATATATTCCTTTCTCCGTACATTAATGTGACCGGTATAGTGTATTTGGATATTTAAAGAGGTGGAGTGAAGATTGAAGAAAAGTAGCTGTTGGAAGGGTCACAAGAGGTAGCCAAAGAAGGGATGGCTTGGATACCGCCTGGTATTTTTACATAACATTAAGTTGTCAGGAGGAAGCGGTTTCTATGTAAGTATAAGTGTAAATGTGTGTGATGCTGGTAAACTACCAGAGGAAGCTCAGAGAAAGTGAGAAAGGAAGGAAAGGGATGAGAAGACGAGGGTATGGGAGTGAGCGAGAGAGGGCCAAGGGTGGCTTGGGTCACTAATGGAGGTTAAAACGTGAAAGCGAGGAGGTGAGTAAGGAAACGCTTCTCGCGTCTCGATCACCGCGAAACAGTTGCACATCCGGTGTGGCTTTCAACCCTCTCGTATACTTTAGTACTCGGCAAGACTTCTGTGACGTCAGCAGGCTGTATGACGACTCTTTGCCCAAGTATCAGTCAATATTTTTTTTATTCTATTTTCTTTACAGTTTCATTTTTGTATCAACACTTTCATTAATAAAAGGTTACCTTTGTAACTTTATATTTTTTCATTATTGACACATTGTAGAGATTTATGTCATGTTAGCGTAATTTTATTGTACCAATATCTGCACTGATAAAAAAATTAACTTGACTCGAGAGCCAAAATCTTGAATCAAGAATACCATTTTGAAGAGAACGATTTTCTTGAGTCGAGAGAATGAATTCTTAAGGCAAGAAAAATTCACTTAAATCAAGAATAATTTCTTGATTCAAGAATTTATTCTCTTGACTCAAGAAAATCATTTTCTTCAAAATGGTATTCTTGGTTCAAGATTTTGGCTCTTGAGTCAAGTTAATTTTTTTATTCGTGTGGAAAACCATCCGTGATAATTTAATTCATGAAATACAAGACTAAGAAGGATAGTGCCTAAAAAGTATTTTTAAAAAATTAAAGTTACTTTGCTACACGGAAAAAAATGCAAAAATTATATTTTATACTGTAATGTTGCGCTTCATGTACAAAAACTGGAAAAATTACAGTTTCAGATTATAATTTTTACTGATTTAGTAAAAATTATATTTTTAATATTAACATTAAATTTTTAAAAAATATGTAAAAATTCATTTTACGTAAAAATTGTGAAAACAAACATTTTTTTTATTACTTAAAATTTTAATTGTAAAATCAAGTAAAACCATTGTAGAAGAAAAATTAGTTAAAACTTTTATATTGAAGCTCAATTTTCAAAACTTATTTAAGATTCTTCCAATTCATTATTCACATCAATATGTTGTTTTTAATATTCAAATGTTGTTATTCTATCCTGATAAATTCAATCACGGTGAAAATTTTTAAATTCAATAAGATAAAAATCCGTCATTATAATCTGGGATCTCTTTAAATGAATCTTGAAAAAATTCGTAAAAAAAAAAAAATCACGACCCATCTATAAATATTTTTCTAAGTGAAGTATATCATTTTGACAAATTAATTTTATTACAGTCAAGTGAATTTTTTGTTTGTGAATTTGAAATTGGCAAAAATTTGCCGTCATCAAATTCTATTTTATTAAACAATTTAAACGTATTTATATTCCACCCTTCTCGTTGCTCCTGTTCCGTTCGCTTGATATTTATTTAATCCCAGGACTAGTTACAGGGTGTTTTATAGACGATATTTATTTCAATGTTGCTGTATACTTGTGGAAAATATTTTATTTGTTAATCATTGCATAATCATAAGCTACTCTCAAAGTACATACCATACCCATAAATTGCTGTTTGTATTTATGTCCACATATACACGCTGTTTATAATTACACACGGCATTCTTTGTTTACATCCATATTAAATAATAACAGTGATGCTCAACACAAGAACAAAAAATTATTTTTAAAAATCTTTCATCTACATTTTGATCAAATTTTCTGAAAAAATCAAAAGATCGCGGAGCTTTTTCAGTAGATTGAATTTTTTATGAATATAATGGTTTCTGTTAGTTTTATCCCATGTTTAATTTTTTAACAGAATTTTTAGTAAAACGCAAAATACCAATCATTTAAAAATGTGTGCTTATGTGTACTGAATAACATATCAACAAACAGATAATTACAAATTTAATTAGCTCAAAAATTTCGTACCACAAAATATCTATGCAGTTTACATCAATAGGCATCAAAAATCCCTTTGAGTGCAACTACACAGAAAAAAAAACGTTAATTTGATAGAAGTCAGTTTTTCTTAATCCCATAAATTTTTCAAAGGCTCAAAGGAGACTCCAAAATTTTTTGAACAAAGTAACATTAATTCTTGGATCAAAATTTCTTAAGCAGTAAATTTTATATAATTTTATTATATTTTACGTAAAAAAATTTTGAATATATTTAAGAAAATTATTGACTATAGCCATCAAGAAAAAAATGATAATTTTAAATGAGTTTTTTTTTTTAGTTTAAAGAAAATAATGTCTTTCGCGAATTGAATAATTGATAAATAGAAGAAATTTTTGCTTTCAATAAATTGAAAATTTTGGTTTCAGTTCAAGACTACACGGAGAGAAATTTATAAGAACCTTTCCAAAAATTATGGAAATGGTTCCTATAATAAAATGATCATTATAGGTATCAATCCTATGCTCATTATGAGAACTATACCCATAATTTATTGGAAACATTCCTATACAATAATGGAATAGCTTCAATAGATTATGGGAATGGTTCCTATAATATTATAGGAATGGTCCCTATATTATTAAAGGAATGGTTCCTATAATATTATAGGAATGACGCACATAATAATAGAAAAATGTTTATGTTCATAATAATGAAGCAATCATATCAAAAATATAAAGTAATTATTATAATATTTTTTTGCTAATAAATTTTTTTTTGTAAATAAAAATTGATCTTTCACTAGAGTGAAAAAATTTCTTTTTCATAATTTTTAGTCACGTGTACTTAATCTTAAATTGTTTATTCCAACTCAGTTATTATTGTGTTAGATAATATTGAAAAATATTGTAGCAATTCTAAAGTTTCTCTAATAAAAGGGATATTTTCTCACTATACAATTAGAGGAGCAAAGTAGATATGGAAATTCATTGTTTATTTCTACAATTTCATTTTATTTTTAAAACAAATTATTTATTTACAATACATACGTTGAATATTTATTAAATCCACCTTTTGGGTTTATAACTTTTATTGTTTATATGAACAATATTACTTATTTTACATATTTAAAATGATGTTATTGGGAAGCAAGTAAAATTATCGAAATTACTAATAATTTCAAATGCTTCAAAGTGGTCATCGAAGTCACAAATAACTTGAGTTGTAATGATAAATATCTCAATATTATTAGGCATCATCACTATAATATTATGGGAATGGTTTCCATAATATTATAGGAATGGTTCCTATAATATTATAGAAACTATTCCTATTAATTATGGGAACCATTCCTATATATTATGGGAATCATGCCGATATTACAATTATAATTATAGGTATCGTTCCTATAATTATAGGAACC